AGTTTAAGTCTAGAACAACATATTGTAAAAAGGATTATAAGTTCAGACAACTTCTCGCCCTAATAAAAATACGATAGCTAGAAAACTGGGTATGCTAAGGTTAACTTTTTTAGGTACCAAGCATCACAAATTGATCGTAAAACGTAGTTATCTAGTTAGATAAAATGGCAACTTTGCCCAACCGTACATACGAAACTTTTCAACAACAACGCTTCACTTAACGCGGATTAAACTATTTTCTGTTAAAATATTTCACAAACTCTTCAACTTTCTTATAAAGGCGGGCTTTGGTCTTGCCTCTGGAAAAATTAATTTCAAAGTGCTCTAGGGCTGTCATCTTTGAGGACACACTTCAATAGTTACACAATCTTATCGTCGATATTAATTTAACTTAAATGTCTGAAAGTAGGTATATATATTCATATATTTCGATGCTTTACAGTGTTTTTAATGATAGAAGAAGGCAGACACGCATGAGGTCCACTTTATGTTACGTGAAATATCCTTTGGATATTCGAGAATCCGCAGACTGAAACCGTAACGCGAACCTCAAGGCTTTTTTATCTGGTAGGTGGATGGTGATCCGGACGGTATGTCGATATTCCTACTACCCACATTTTAAGATGAAGACTAATATGTTTAAAAAAATAATACATTAATTAGAAAATATTGCGATTATTGCACTAACAAGTGCCGTCTCACGGTATTGCTATAAATTAAGAAGTTTTATTATCATAAATTTTAATTTTAGTGAAATAAGGAGATTTGTCTGAGAAAGTAACTACTAAGTACTATAATTAATATAACCAACATGTGAAAAATATCAAAGTTTTCTATCAGTAATACTCTCAGACTATTACTATTGGTGCAAATATAAAATAACTTTATTTATAACAGAACTTTTCAATGACATTTTGTTTCATTGGGTGTGGCCAAGAAACATATATTTAGGTTTTTAATTGGCCATTCACTAATGCTACACAGTACAGTATATCTAGCTCATATCTTTACTAAATAATTCATGTAACTCGAATCTTGGCTAAGATTTTATAAATTTAATGGCGTAACATATTTCAGAGAACGTTAAAAAATCCGAACTGTTAAAAGTTTCGTATCCAATGTACTGGCGTAAACGACAGACAGAACTTAGATAGAGATAATTGTATTAAATATAAAAGAACTAAGCAAAATCCGAGAATTGAAAAGCTAAATAAGAATTGAATTTATCAATCCGCCACATTTAAGAGAAATATTGGTTTATAAGTATGGCCTAGTTACAGCAGCGCTGGGACTAAACTTGATTTTTTATCTCTACCCAGCCTCGGGTCACTTAGACTTTCATTTCCTTTGCAATAAAACTGTTAATAGTTTATTAAAGCTCTCCGTTCAGATATATTTTTAATAAATTGATGCTCTGTTTAATTTTATATAAAACCAATTGTATTAAAAGTTACATTGTTTTTAAGATTAGCAATGAAATCCAGTTTTACTCTTTGATATATAAGTTTTACGTTTTACATTTGCGACGGGCTCTTTGGTGTATAGGCTAACTCTATCATAAAAAAGCTTTATTTGCAAGTAGCTGTTAAACTTCTGTGTTCTGCCCGACCGAATTATTCCCCAAGAGATTCGAATCCAGAACTTAAATTAACCATTCAGTTACACTCGCGGTTAGCTTTTTGATTACTGATTTAGGTAAGATTAAACTGATTATAAACATCAGGTCATTTAAAAATAAATATCACGTTTCAAACCCTTAAAAGTGTTCCATTTAATATGAGTGCCATATCTGAGTACGTTTCAACTTTTAGCACATTGGCGTGTCTTAATAAAATGAGCCGAACGAAATTGTTTCTGCAATTTGCACGAATCATGTATAATTACGATCAATCTTCAAAGGTCATTTACCAATTGCTTGATCAAGCGCTTTGTAATATTTCTATCATTACATACAATAAGACTGAAATATTGATTGTAGCTTAGCAATAAATAAATGTTTATCTTTATGTCACATACAATGTGGCAGATTAGGTATTTACATTAAAAATAAATATTCTATACTAGCTGTGCGCGCGGTTTAGGTAGAATAGTTATTTTGGGCTAATATTATTTGTTTTTGCAATTATCTGAGCTTTATAAATCATATGTGTCCGTCGTCCGCGCCCCGTCGTTCTTGCAAGTTAATCTAAAAAGCTGGATGTTTATTATCGGTGATATTCTTTAGATCACTTATCGATGAATCATTATTTTATACATCTTTGATATTGAACCGTTTCGAATTGCACGCAACGGAAGCTAAAATGAATGATTTTTCCCATTTTTCACTTTGTATCTCTTTTGGTCGATAAATGCTATTATAAATGATCTAACTAATAGAAATAAATACAATTTAATTAATTTTACTAATTACAATTTTTTTAATTCGAACGAGTAGTTCTGAGACTAGCGCGTTCAAACAACCAAACAGACTCTTTAGCTTTATATATTAGTATAGATGCAGTGTGGCTGGTTTGGTTAGATTTTTTACATCAAAATAAATATTGTATATATGTATAATAATATATGTTTAATAGAATAAGTTTAACGTGTATGTAAAAGAAGATTGTGTTTATGGTTGGTTTATCCAAGCTGGGTCTCATCGTAAATGTATTTATTATTAACGTGGTCTGTATTTGGAAGCCATGGTTAATTTTTGGCGGTAAACTGTGGTCGAAACAGCATTTGAGATAATCCGTAAATTTTAGATACGTTGAAGAACCGAATCTTAGATATCAGAAAAGCTGAAATACCCCAGCTTTGTAACGTCAAAAAAAACTACGCTGTCGACCTAATTTTTGAATTTAGACGTGCGGAAATCAACAGACTGACCGAACCGCTATCAGACTTCACAGCTTTTCAATACGTGGACGGTGGTACGTGACCAGGAGGTAATTTATATTTTCCTACCATCCATTTAATATCCAAATTTATAGATGTCCAACATGTTTCAGAAAAAATAATAATTGATTATAAACATGTTAAAACCTCGAACCGTTTTAGCATTACATTGGTAGCATAGCCTACCAACGAGATTATCAAAATGTACGGCGCAAATGTTAAACAGTTACCTACTTATTTTTTAACTACAATTAAATCGCCTTTATAACTATTTAAAATTGAAGACTCAAGTTTAAATAATAACTGAAAAATTATCTATACTTATAACAAACTGAAGAGTTTGTTTCAACGCGCTAATATTAGGAACTACTGTTTAGAGTTGAAGAATTATTTTTGTTTGGTAAGATAATTTATCGAGGAAGGTTATACGCTATAAAACATTGCTCAGTAACCAATAGGATTAAACAAAACAGAAGAAAATGAGGAAAGGGCAAGGGAAATTTTTCATCTCTGTGGGTTTCAGATGCGTACGCTGCGAAAACGGTTCAAGACACCCAAAAAATATTTACAAAAGAATTATTCCTCTTTAAATTATTTAAAAAATATCCGCGACACTGTATGTCTATCTAGATTAACTTGCAAGAACAACGGGAAGGGACGCGACCAACGTCGTGGGTAACATGTTTAAGTTTATAAACATGAAGGGCAAAAACGAATTTGTATGCCCAAAATAGCTATTCTACGCGGACGAAGTCCCTAACACAGCTAGTGTACAATAATTTGTGACTTCTCCAAGTACAACGAACAAATATACTTTAATGAATTGTTTTACAGTTAACTTCTTACTGTTTTAATTAAATCAAAGACAAAGTAATGTGGCAGCGAGCGTGGGTTTCGACATTTTATTATGAAATGGGTACATTCGAAACGCACCGCAGTTATAGGCCCGATAAGTGGAAAGGCGTGGTACTCGCTTGAATTAATAATAATCTTTGTAAAGGTGATCTAGTTGGGGATACAGGTATAGAATGCGGACAAGCGCCGAGAACCTTGTGTAGCAGGAAGTTATTGCCGCCTATCACTGCCTGCAAAAAATACTCCAAAATTACGAATACGATTCAGATATTTATAGTTACGCCTTTAAATAATCCACTTTAACAGTTTAAAACGCGATATATTAGTTAAACTTATTTAAAAATGTTTTTTGAACTTCGGCCCGACGTTTCGGATGCTTTGCCAGCAGACTCTAAACCGTTAGTGTTGTATTTAAATGTGTACTACTCGCGTAAACTATAGACTGTATTTTATAGTTACGTCATTGTAAAATACCTTTAAATATTACACATTTAACGATTTAAAACGCGAAGTAGATTAAACGACACTTTGTAACGGTTTTAAACGTGATATATATTTAATTAGTTTGAGCTTCGAACTAAAAACTGCATTACAAATTTAAAGTTTTTAAGTAGAAATGTATCGCGTGCAATACATTGTTTTTGACACGTTCATAGTTTGGTGTATGTATATAAATTATTTATTACAAGTTTTGCTTGGATGCGCAGATAATGTCTATGGAATGTGGATTACATTAGACAGTGTCCAATTTACCGCTCTCTCTTGTTGTTTTCTTGAAGGTAAGGTCTCTTTAGATTACTTTATAACGAAACGCATTCAAAAGCCTGCAAGATAAACCGATAGAATTGTTCCCTATTACATATATAAATTAAATTAATGGAGTAAGATAAACAATTTGATATAAAAATACTTCCAAAAAACCATTGTGAAATATTGTAGTTTCATAATAAAATTTGAAATTTAAAGAATTTCGCTCATTCCATTGAAATATATCAACAAGAGCGTTTCACGTTTTTTGTATACAAAAAATAAATGTTGAGCAAGATTATCAGACATATATTCAAATACCATTCATAATTTAGGCACAGCTACATTTATTTACAAAATTTCCGTTCACATTACAATAACCCGCTTCAGTACAACAAAACAACATTAAACTGTCCATCAACACTAAACACAACAAACAACAGTGAAATGCTTTCAAACAGTAGGACCACTTCCTACGATAGCGGTATCAAATTTCACCGCCAACTCGACCAATTATCGATTTAAACTTTGTGGAATGAATAAGTGTAGCCGTCAGGTGCTCTGTTCAAGCTGAACTTTCCGGGGGGGAAGAATCTCGCTGGGGGAGGTGTCGTGGGCTCGTAGTATTGCTCCCTGGCTTGGGGTGCGTTGTATTGCTGTGACTGGATACCACTGTACTGCGCTTGTTGCGTACCAGGGTATATGTTGTTCACTGGGAACTGACTTTGTGCTTGGGGCTGATATTGTGGCTGAGCTTGGTACTGTTGCGCCTGATACTGCTGTTGAGGAGCAGAGTTGCTCTCCTGTTCGTATAACTCAGGGTGGTACTGTCCATCATCTACGCTGGGTTGCGCATTGTAATTTCTGGGTGCTGTGTACTGCTGGGGAGCGGAGTACTGGCGAGGTGCACTGTACTGATTTGACTGGTATTCTGGTGCCTGGTATTGAGGGTCTGGGGTGTATCCAGGGGTAGGGGCAGCGCCTAATGGAGCTGTTGGGATATGGTCACCGATGGCTTGAAAACCGTTCTTTCCAGCGATGTAGTTCACTGTCTTCTTTTGTCCGGTGGGGTCTATGTAGGAGTAGCTGCCTCTGCGGTTACCGTCCGCGTCGGTTTCCTCTTTGAAGTTGATTCCATCTTCCTGTTGGTACGCAGCACCGAAAGCTCCGTTTCCGCTAAGATACCGGGCCTCTTGGACTATGGCCGCCGTTCTTGGGTCACCAGCGTATTTGGGCACGCGTTTCGCACCCTCTTGTTGCTGACACGCGACTGCCGCGATAACAAAGACAAATGTGAGCCTGTACATTCTCGCTCGAAATGTGCACTGCTCGCGTGAAAGTAACAGATTGTGTATCGGCGGGCGGGTCCCAGGTTTTATATGAACAGCGGAGGCCTTGAGTGATATTGGAAGGGCCCTAAGGCCTGACCGCGAAAATGTATCATTCTCAATATAAGTGCAGCCGATGCTTGTATTCAAGGAAGTGAGAAGTGAGGATTACTGGACGACCCTTGAATGGTATCAACATGTAAATGTCAGGTTGTAGTTTGGAAAGTTTTTTTAAGAATCAACTCGTAAAATCTTAAGTAATAGTTTTTACGATTTAGTTTAGCTTTTTTAATTTCTCAGTGGCAGATAAGCTAATAAATACATACTCAAACTTGTAACTGTATATGTATGTGTAACAGCCGGTAAAAGATCATTATAAACTTAATTTTAGTGACTTTAAATTAGATTTAACATATAACAAACGTTCGTCGCTACCGTTCAAGGTCTTAAGATTATGTAATAAGCAATTCGTATAAACTGGGTTATGTGATATAGAAACGTGGTCACATAGTCTAGTCACATAACATTTTTATTAGCTTATAAGATTGGTTTAGGAAGTGACTGGTTTCGAAAACTTTAATATTTTTTCACACGATGGCTTTACATAAATATTAAAATCGATGTTAGACTGAAAAAGAAAATGACGACACGGACAGGATTTAAAATGGATTCCACAGCGTTCCGGGCTGTTGTCCTAACCAATAGTAAATGTGAATCGATTTGGACGTTTTGTGCTGTGGTTATATCAAGCGACCGTATTGATGATATAACCAGCTGTGCCAGCGCCTTCGCCCGCGCAGAATAGTTATTTTATTCATCAAAATTTGTTTTCGCAACCCTCCTGTTCAACTCTATAAATTAAACCTGTACCCACGACATCGTCCGTGTCCCGTCGTTCTTGGAAGTTAATCGTCAAAAATAGACGTATACTGCCGCGGACATTTTTTAGCGCATTTTAAGAGGAAACATTCTTTAATACATATTTTTGGGTATCTTGAAGTGTACGCAACGGAAACCCACAAGAATGAATAATTTTCCCCGTTTTTCTACATTTTTTTGTTTTTTCTTCGCTCCTATTTGTCACAGCGTGTGTTTTATAGCTTATCGCCTTTCACGCAAAAATAATTTTTCAATTCGATTCTGTAGTTCTTGAGATTAGTGCGTTCAAACAAACAAATATACATGGCATTTAGATTTTCTCACGCGATTACCAGGTAGTATTATTTGTCTATCAAATCTAACGAACTCTTTGTTCTAGGTTTCTTAACTTTGTAGGTCACTAGAGCGATTGCATTCATAATGAGTAATTAAATTATATTACACAACATCAAAATAAATATACGTAACGCGTTCTTTAATGTGTGTGTATTTGATAATTTTGTTAGTGGACAGGTTGTTTGTCAGTTTTTAAGTGATAATGCCTTGTAAATGTGTCTTGAAGCAGGATTTCACATTATGGCCCAGTTTTGAAATGAACGTTGTGGCTTTAAGGTCCCACGAGTATTATAAAATATTACCACGGTTTTTAAATTATAGAAAATACTACTTACTACGTTATATTACTTATTATATTTCCTTAATATCACTGCATTTGTAAAATAATACATAAACGTGTTTTCTAGAATTGTATTAAGCAAAAGATATTCTGGGTTTGACACTCTGGAGAAATTATAGTCTTATAAGCACGAATAAACAATCAATCAAATTACACAATTTAATCAATCAAATCATCGATAAAACGGACACATAAATGTGTTCATAGGTATATACATACATTAAGATGCGTTAGAATTATTATTTAATGTGAAATTTGAGAAAAAGAGAGGTTATCGTTTACGCAGTTCCAATGCACCTTTGATTTATAAAATAAAAAGCTAATTAAGTTTGAAAAAGTTGGTGGACTCAAGCAGGACTCGAACCCACGGATTTATATTGCCCTTGCTCTTTTGACCTTCTGCAACACGTCTCTGTCGATTTCGCCGTTCTACTAAAAATACTGATTAAACCATCAATCTACCTTTGTCGTTGTTGGGTAAAAAGGAAGGTAATTATTCATTATGATAATTCTTGACCTTCCGTCAAGACGGTCAACATAAGTGCGAATACGATGAACACTCCGTATAAAGGATCCTATCTAAGGAGATATGCGTCTCACGACGAGATATTTTTGCAACATATACACTACCTGTGTCCTTGCTTCAGAAATAAATCGTTGTTTTTTACGAAGTATTAAATAATCTTTATATTAATACCAACAATATTTTTTTTTAAATCCTTATATAGGTAATATAAGGATTTAAAAAATATTACAATATGCAAAGAAGATATGCACAAAGGTCTAACTTTACCGAAAAATAAATACATTGATTAAAAGTCTGATCGATCTGCCTGTAAATAAAAACTATCTGTGCAACGGTTACAGAAATGTGTTCGCCCAGGCCCCAATGGGCGAAACAAGATTTAAGTTTTATATGTATAATATTATGTTACATATGGAAAAGTTATGTGGCAGCTGATAAAAATGTACACAAGTGGAACTCGAATGCACGACCATAGCGTTCAGTGCCGTATTTTTTTGTAATGTAAAGTATATTTACAGCAGCCGAAACGTCGGGCCGTATTTAAAATTAATTGCAAATAAGTTTAACTAATACACTTCGATTTTTAAACCCTTATAATGTTTTATTTTAAATGACTACTACTCGCGTAAACTGCAGATAGTATCTAAAACAAATTAATAAAGTTATATGATCTTTATTAATTTTAATTCTTCAAGCAAAGAATGTGAATGATATAAATTTATTTACTACCATAACATATAAGACTTGTTTATAAAAATAAAAAAATCTGTTAAGATTAAACAGTTAAATTTAATCTTACTGTATAAAAAAAAATGTGCTTCTTGTTGATTTTACCAACAAGCAGCACATATTTTTTTAAGATTAAGATCTTAGCGTATCTGTTTCCGCCTCATCTACACTAATATTATAAAGAGGAAAACTTTGTTTGTTTGGTTGTAATGAATAGGCTCAAAAACTACTGGACCGTTTTTAAAAATTCTTTCACCATTCGAAAGCTACATTATCCACGAGTAACATAGGCAAAATTTTATTTTGGAAAAAAATAGGGTTCCTTAAAATATTTGGGTTTTTCGGACACAAAGTGTAAAAAATCAACCAGAAAAGTTACTTATTTTGCGTACGCTGCCTAAACTATAAAAGATAGAAGCATAAAATGTTCTAATTAATTGGAGATCTAATAAATATCTACAAAAAAGTCCGCGACACACTATACCTATCTATGTCGAGTGAGGCACAACAACCATTTTTTTATTTAAAAATCTAAATTTTTTTTTGGACTACATTTAAACGCATTTATTTTACTCATGCTATTAATCCTTATTAAAATAAATTATTTCATCACTAAGTACAGTTTATGTAGATAATATTTGGTATTTAAAAGATTAAAATTGGACGTTTGGTTTTGAAGTTATGGCGAAATTAAAATATTACTATTTCTGCGTTGCGAAGTGGGCGTCACCAAGGCGGGGGTGCGAGTGCGGGAGGGGAGTTTAGATCTATGAGTAAGGTACCAGTTATTTAAGTTAGAGATAGTTAAATAAAAGGATGGACAGTGACATGGGCTATTTACCACCCAACGAAGTGGGTGCGGGTCAGCTAGTATAATATAAATGTGTGTAAGTCACAAACGTATTGTCTTCCACGGGTTGGAAGTGGTTCTCTGTACGTTTAATGAAAACAAACTCATATTAGTATACGGGCACTGCATAATACATTTTCTCTACAAACTTAATGCTTTCCTTCGTAAAGTTGTGTGAAACTATGTATTTTGTCACAGTTATTCCTTTTATTTTATGATAGTACTGCTATTGTTATGAATTCCTTACTATTTTATGTAATAAAATCTTCCTTAACAAATTAAATTATATGTAGTTATTTAAAAATCCAACGAAATAGGCAAAATGTAAGTTGTTTTATATGTCTGACCAATTATTAAAAATATATGTAAATAAAGAAACACACTAAAATCTAGTTATAAATTTTATTACTAAAATTTCTTATTGTAGTTTGTCAAACATTCGACCGATGTTAGGCCAACTTAAGCTGTAACTAAAAACTATTTATTACAGTTTATTTTACCGTCTGTGAACATAAACCGAACTTAAATAAGTTTCGACGGACTCGTTCTTCTAATGGTGGCAATGTATAGCTAATAATCATGTTGCTAATTTTTCAATTTATAGTCCCGGGTCACGCACCACGGTCCACAGATGAAAAAGACGTGAAGTTTAATCGAGTTTCGAATTCAGTCAGTGGATTTCCGAATATCCAAAGCCAAAATAAGTCGACAGCGTATCTTCGTTAGATGTTATATATGTGTATTTCACCTTCCACCACCACCTATTAAGTGAACACCACGCTTGTCATTACTCCTCTATATTAAAAGTAAATACTTTTAAATAAAACACTTTAACGGTTTAAAACGCGATATATTAGTTAAATTTGTTTTGAAAATGATTTTTAACTTCGGCCCGACGATTCGGATGCTTATTTAAAAATCATTTTCAAATAAGTTTAACTAATATATCGCGTTTTAAACCGTTAGTGTTTTATTTAAATGTGTACTACTCGCGTAAACTATAGACAGTATTTAGTAAATACTTTTTTAAACCACCTACTTGTCGAAATTTGGGTTCCGGTTCAAACAACACTCGGTTATTAATATTATTATTATAAAAGAAGTCAGTCCTTCAGTACCTTCCGTCAGTCTAGATACCTAGATAGATAATAGTCTGCTAAGAATATTATGTTGACGCACCGTCTTAGCTCGGAACTGCAGAGTTCATTATAAGATCGGTATTAAACAGAATTTTAATTAAGGTTGGTTTTTCTTTATATCAATAGAATTTTATCTCTATATTTATTCTACAGTTTTTATTATAATGTATTGATATCGGT